TTTCTTGAAATGAGATAACATTTTTAAACTTACATCAAGTCGTCTATACGGGTTGATCACGTGATCAAATGTTACTTGATCAAATCTCATTGAAATTGCAATGACTTCATGGCCATGAGACAAGCCCGTTGATAAACAAGCAGAAATACGCCTTTCTTAATTAGAGTATAGAATGAAAAAAACATTTGCTCATGCAAATATGTTTGTGTATTGTTTTCAAAAGGAATTTTGCCGTGCATGTAGGTTGAAATATATTTTGTTAAATTTTATTATTTACTTTCTCAAAACATACTTAAGGCCCTGTCACACCAAGCTGCGTTCACACGGAGTCATTACGGCGTTGTTAATTTTTTAAAATCGCCGTGGAATCGCAGGAAAATTGCACAATTCTGTAAAATTTTCACAAAGTGAAGATGTCACGGCGTCCCTACGGCAAAGGACGCGATTCTACGGCGATCTCACGGCGTTCCCACGGAGATTTCTCGGCGATTGACTGCGCTTGCGCGGAGTTTTCACGGCGCGTAAGGAGTTTTCACCTCGTGTTCACGGTGTTCTCACTGCGCTGGCTGAGTTCACAATGCGTTCACAATGCGTTCTATACTCATTGATATATATTCAGAAGGAATGTAAAACATTTTTTGTTTAAAAAATCAAGTTACATGACGAAAAGACTTCTAATCATGCCAAGAAAAAAAATCTTAATAATTAAAAATGTTCTGTTTAAATAATTTAGTACTAAATTATTAATAGTTTTATGATTAAACTCCTTTTTTCAATTTTATCGGTTCAGATGTGTTGTTAAATTTTTCTTTAATTTTATTATGAATTAAAAAAAAAATTAACACACTGAAAAGTTTTCTTTTAAAAAATTCAAATTCAAAATTTAAGTGAAACAACAGAACAAGTTCTGTTGTAATTTTCTCTTCCATGTTTTACTTAAATGCTCCTAGTGCAACAAATACGTTGGAATTATTGCTGATCAAATATGACCCCATTGCTCTTGTTTTGTGAGCTGGCTGACAACGCTCTAACAACGCCGTGAAAGCGCATTACGATCGCCAACGGACGCTGTAGAAACGCCATGGGAGCGCAATGATCGCAGTGACATCTCCGTGCTGTCGCCGTGTAATCGCCGTCCAAAAAAATCACAAGACGATAAATCTCATTAGAAGCGCCGTAAAAACGCGACAGAAACGCAGTGACATTTCCAAGGACTCCGCAACATCTCCGTGAGGTCTCCGTGGAAGCGCAGTCTACTATCACTGCGTTCGTGCCGCGATCATGTGCGTCTTCACGGCGTTCGTACGGAGTTCCCACTACGTTGTTGGAGATCTCACTGCGCTGCTACGGCGATCGTACTACGTTTCTACTGCGTTCTTATCAGACGGCGATCACACGGCGCGTACTTTGTGCATGCCCAAAGTGATCGCCGTCCCCTGGCGTTCTAGGAGACCCTACGCGACCCTACGGCGTTCAGTGGAGATCTCGCTGCGTTGTCACGGCGCTGTAGGAGAATCTACTGCCATCACCTCGGCGTTTTGCATTTTTTGAGGACGCAGCCCCGGTGTGACAGGGGTTTTACGTGCAAAGAAGGAGGGAGTAGGGTTGTACGCCCAAGCCGGCTGATGCGGAGTTTCAAAGTGTGGCGGTCAGCCGGGTTCGATCGCCGGTGGCCAGAGAGCTCAGTTGGTAGAGCACCTGACCGGAGTTTCAGGGGGCCCAGGTTCGAATCCCGGTCTGGTCCGCTGCATTTTCTCCTCTCCCGTTACAAAAGTAATGAATTTTCCCCTTTGTTGATCCAGTTTAAGAAAGTGTATGGCAGAAATATGAGGACACAATCTTTAAAATACTAAATTTATGAATTTAAGGATATTTTTGAAATATATATCAGCAAGAATAACCGTTCTATCTTCTCTTTATTGTCTAGTATGATAGGTTAATTTTTTTTGGATAATGAAAGCTTTGTCTTTTTGACCTTCAATATGGCGACCAACGGGACATAACTCCCGCTAAAATTGCGTCTGTCGAGCGCTTGCAACTACGTTAGTCCAAATTCCTGGAATACGCATGCTCGGCTTCACGGTCGTGCATTCTGGGAAAACTGTGAAAACTACTATAGATAGACCGTACGATAACAATTTCGTTGTATCATTAAATAACTGTTTATTTATTGTGTAGCTTACACTTTAAAAGATAACTACATAATTGTAATACATCAAATTTTCCCTTTTTTCTGATGGAAAAGCCCGAGTCATCATTTGATTATTCTAAACAAAGACAAGGGAGTTTTTTTTTTACGTCTAAGCAAAAAATTGACTCTATTTTCAAGACCCGCTCACCACAGTAAAAATATATTCGATATGCTCGCAATCATGGCAATGTAGGCCAAGCGAAAACATCCATAAACAAGGATTTACACGAAAAATTACGAACAAATACATTATTTATTTTTAAAAAAATTCTTTGTATGACTTTTAACCTAACAGTTCTTGACAAAGATGACCCAAAGGGCCAAGTAACTTCACATCTTCACATTCGAAACTCTCTGGAAGCTCCAATGGGTCAACACAAATCATCACACCCACCCCCCATCCCCCCGTTTCTTTACCTATGTGTCGATATGATACACTTCACCAAAAAATTTATAACTTTATCACACCCCAACCTCGATCAACATTTAAAAAAAATCAGCAAAATAAATCACTTGATCTTGGACCTTCCTTTCTGTGTTTAAAAATTGCTGCGGTGCTAGCTCACCTACCTTTTTTAAAAGATAAACTTGTAAGTTAAGGTTGGTCATATAAGGAGTTTGGGGGCATAGTTTGTTGATACACAAAATGAAAAAGCATATTTTAATCTGTCCTTTTAAATGACAAATGAAGAAAAACAGTTATGAATATTGGACTTTTTCTAAGATCAGACAAAGGAAGTGTATTCAGATTGTCCACAGTCTCACAAAATGGTACTTTGCATGTTTTTGGCCTCTCCTTTAAAATGATATCAAATTTAATATAGGTATCGAGGTTACATTTCATATGATTTCAAATTGAATTACATGAAAACATCTTATTGAGGAAAAAATTACAGTGTCAGTATGGGAATGACCAATCTAAACATAAAATTTGAGTTGTAAAATGGCATTATGTATAACAATTTCTGTAAAAGCCCTTATTAAACTTTAAACGAGGTTGTTAAAATCCCTGTAACATCAGCTTATCAGTGCGTAGCATGCCTCGCTTTAAAAATAGATTTTACTCAGAGCAAGCTCTTGAGTATCGAATAAGTTGAGAGCATAAAGTCGACAATGGAAAGCTTTAGTCATGTCGTTTGTCATACTATTTAGTTGCTAATTGGCCTTTATCGTCTATAATCTGTAAAAAATCCAAATATGAAACCGATGTGGCACTCGGCTCTGTGGTATCTTTTATTGTCCCCCGCTTGAAAAGTGGGGGATATTAATTTGGGTTTGTCCGTCCGTCTGTCCGTCCGTCCGTCCGTCCGTCTTTCTGTCTGTCTGTAACGCTTTCGTTTCCACACGATATCTCGAGAACCCTTTGACCTTTTGCAATGAAATTTAGCATAGCAACTCCCTGTGGACTAAAGAAGACCCCTATTGATTTTGAGGTCAAAAGGTCAAAGGTCAAGGTCATAAATAAGCAAATTCTGTCTGTTAAAACACTTTCGTTTCCACACGATATCTCTAGAACCATTTGAGCTATTGCAATGAAATTTTATATAACAACTCCCTGTGGCCTAATGAAGACCTCTATTGATTTTGAGGTCAAAAGGTCAAAGTTCAAGGTCGTAAATTTATACATTCTGTCTGTGTGTAATACTATTATTTCCGGGCGATATTTCAAGAAGATTTTGAGCTTATGCAATGTAATTTTATATCAAAACTCCCTAGGACGTCTCTCGCCCCTCTCAAAGTGCCCCGCCCCGTTTGTTTTATTAGTATTTATAGTATTACATGTCGCTATTTTTAGCGCAGGGGCATGAGGAGAGTTATTGCGTATAAAACAGGTTCTCGGCGGACTTTATGTTCTTATTACATCTATTAGAACTGTTTAATAAAGGCTAAATAAATCAAACACCATGGATTGTGTAAGATTTTGAGAATACCGAACATGAAAACATGAATATATACATGTATGTGACTTCACTTCTGCATATACTTCCCATTACGTAAAGCGATTCCGTGGTCTAGTGGTTATGTCTCTCGCTTCAAGTGTGAGAGGTCCCGGGATCGAATCTCGGTCGCACCTTTTTTTTTTTTTTTAAATTTTTTTTTTTTTTTTTTTTTTTTTTACAAAATGATAGTATTCAGCATGTGAAATGAAAAATTTATGAGGTTATAAAATCATCATTACAGTGTGATAAAAATTCCATATAAAAAATCTTCTATACACATAATGAAGAATAAGCAATCAAATCTTTATATGCATATTGACATACACGTATTTTATTTGCTTCAGTATACATGTATACATTTAATAATTCTACAAATTGACTTTTTCCCTAAGCGGGGGACACGAATTCTCTGAATTAGCTTGTTTCAAGTTCACTGGGTTATACATCGAGTCGACATATGAATTAAAGTAATTATTGTAAATTGATAAACCATTCAAAGTCAATATATCTGAATGGCGAATTGAAGGCTTCAGCAAGTGTTTTCCTTTTCTCAAATAGAAGTTTTTAAAAAAATAATTTCTGCTACATAAGAATATAAAAACGTGTTTACTTCTTCAAGGCATGTCACTACTTGGGGTGAAATACAGAAAGAAAGAGAATTTACCCAAGAATCTTAATTTATCATCAGACAAAACTTACAAATTTTCATGTTTGTTATGAAGCACTCGTTTGATTTCAGCAAAAGTTGGCTTATATTTCAGTTTTGTAATACGGATTTTTTCTAAATTGATTGAATTGTAGGATTCTCATGTAAACTGTCTTGAAATATCTTGCTATATCAATGAATGGGACTGGGGGTTATTGAAACTAGGGAACCGGTAGAGATACAGTCGAACAAGAGACGCACGATACCCCCCTCTTCCGTGATTACAAAATAATCTGAATCATTGACTGTCTACTAAAGATTAAATCTCACTGAGAGATAACACACTAACACATAATCTCACACACACACGAGAGAGAGAGAGAGAGAGAGAGAGAGAGAGAGAGAGAGAGAGAGATATTGATTATGTATTTTTTCTATATTTAATACGATAAACATGATAAACAACCTTAAACTATAATTAGCAATGTATAAAATATAGCAATGCATTATAAAATTACTAAGAGAATTAAATATTAATTACGAACCATTTCCTGTAGAAAGCAAATTTAAATATATATATTGCTCAGTTTATTACCAAACTCGAGTTTTCCCGGACATATTTCATCGATGCATTCACAGGAATCTATATAATCATATACAATACATACTGGAAATTCTAATATCGATACCATTTCTACGGAATTTAAAGAGGCATAAATTTAAAATAATGGTCTGACAGAGAATTAATAAAATAATAATGTTCTGTAAATAATTTTTTATAAGAATTATTAGCATTAGACTAAGTAAAAAAAGCGGTAAAAAATTTTTTTAAAATTACAATTGTAAAATATTAATACTCTCAATTGAATAGATTCTCTATTCTAATTTAAAAAGAAAAAGGACGTGTTGTCTACAAACATAGAACGACGTCTGTAAAAGGTAAATATTTATGAAATAACTAAATATTTATGAACTAACTAACTTGACAGAGTTCAAATCACATACGTTGAATCTGAACCTTAACAACTGTAAACTTTAACAATCACACCAGTAAAGAAGCAAATCATAAATCATAAATAATGGACATACAAGGAGTAAAATCATACAAGACAAATATAGGACACAGAATAAATATCCTAAAAGTAGGAAGTAAAATCACACAAGAGTATATATTACAAACATAATAAATATATCTCATAAATAAGTAGTAAAATCACAGAAGAATATATATTACAAGCAGAATAAATATTCCATCATTAACATTTAAGATACACCAAAGAGTTTGACTTGATGGTGGTATTTCATAATTTTCTATGGGGACTAGTTTTTGTATTTTTATATTTTGATTTGTTACTTTAGATACGGAAAAAAGTATTATTGATTTTCGACTGCCCACCCTATTGATTTCTGGAAAAAAATTCAAATATGACCTGGGCGGCAATGTCCAATAAATTATTCCTTGGAGCCGGATCATAATTCTAGTAGGCGTTCTGTAAAACAAGAAAAAACAAAATATTAATAATATGTACAACATATAATTATCGTTTTCCATTTTTAGGTATACACCTGTTAATATGAATATGACGTTTGATAGTATTCTATTAAACATTTTTGTTTTCATAAAAGTTGAACTACAGAAGCAAAAGAACTGAAGAGAAAAAAATACTTCTACGAAATGCATGATTTGCATGTTTAATGAATATCATTTTTTGTCATACCTTAAAAGTGAATGAAGTATTATTTATAAGATTTTACCAGTGACGCAAAATGTGCACTTACCGACATTTTGTGGTGTACTGACTTCAACATATGGTGATTTTGTACATAAGGAAACAAAGTATAGCCATCATAAGAATCAGTGATATACCGTGTCATTTCTGGATCATATTGATAAAAAGTAGCATCATGATTTGATAAAAAAGTTTCATCTTGAAAATTGATAAGGGATGGATAACTTTCAAAATGAGACGGAAGGGTAGCCCTCTGAAAAGTGTTTCTAATTTTCTCACTTGCTGGGGCATGTTTGTTCATGACATATGCTTTGTCTGTATTTGAAAAAGTCCATTGTGAATTCTGTTTTCCTTTGTGATGATGGTCTGCTGCTACAGTCAGTTTTGATGGAAAGAGATAAACTTTCTTTCTATTGATGTCTTTGTTTCTTTTTGATGTTAATAAAAGCTTCTTGGTGGGTACTCGGCCATCTCTATGACGCCTTTTTGATTTAGTTGAAGGTAAAATATAAACTAGTCGGTGTATAATCTTTTTCTTTTGTGCAGACTGTTTTTGCTTTTTATCTTTACGAAAAGTTGTAAAGCCTGCTGATGTGGGATTTGGTGCCTTGATAGGGAACTTTTTATTCCTGATTGAAGTCTGTGGAACTGGTGATTTCATCCTTTCTTGCAAGACTTTGTTGTTTTCGGGAACTCTAATAGATCCTTTGAGACCGTTTCTGTTGTTGAAATCTAACACATTGTTTGTAGTAAGAAGGCCAAATTTACTGTCTCTATGAAGAGAATCGTCTACCAGATCCTCGATTCCTGGTATACTGTGTAAGATATCAAACATACTTTCATTAGAAACATCCCTCATTTGATCTTCAAACGTGACATCATCATCATCATGTGAGGTTCTATCCAATGTATTGCCAATTCTCTCTCTTGTATCCTTTGTCTGCTTTACAAATTCCAGGCCCTCAACAACCAAGTCAAGAAAATCATCCCGATCCTGTTCGCGCTTCAGAAACTGATCCTGTGTCGGTGGATAGAAAATGTCCGGTAACTTCTGAGTAGACTTCATCATTGTTAACGAGGGAGAAACTGGGATGTTTATAAGCTCTTGGGGAGTCTTGTGAGATTTGACCACTGCTTTTGCTAGTTCATTCTCAAACAGGGGCTCACTAAGTAACACTTCAACAAAAGACGTAGTTTTAGATGATGTTTTACCGTTTTCAAGCAATGGCTCATCTAATAACCCCTCTATGAATGATAGACGAACTTTGTCACCGCCAAATTGCTTTTCTTTATTTCGTTGTAAAAGCCATTCAAGATGAGGATGACTTTTTATTTTGTTGGTTTCATGTTGACTGGAACTGAGTTCCAAGTGCTCATTACTTCTGTCAATTATGGCCCCGTGACCAAAGTAGAATAACACTAAGACACTCAAACACAACAATGACAGCATGGTGTTCTGTAAAGAGAAATTATTGTTAAACATTAATTTTTTGAAAATACAGCTTTCACGTGCTTTGATAATTAAATATACCAGAAAAAAATGTTAGATTTTGATTTTTTGCTAAATACTTTTTAAAATATTTCAAATGTGTTACACTACTATAATATCCTCCAAGAAATATGGTTACTTACAGATGCGGACCGACGAAATGATTGACAGACTTCCAATCTGTACAGGTGCAAATATGCACAAATGCTTTTATATTATGTCTTTAATTACAAAGAATCATTATTATTCCCCGGTGCCTCCCTTGATTGCAGAATATGCTTCGTAAAAGTGAAAAGTCAACCAATAATTTCCTGGTATGCAGGCTATTTAATTGGAGCGTGGCAAAAAAGGGAAAGTGAGACGTCTTGAACGAAATTGTCTGGGCAACATGAACATGGAAATTGAAAACGAAGAAATGTTAATTCATTCAACTAATTAATCACATCAAATTGGACATATAATTGAATTGGACTATATTATGAGTCATGTATTCATTACTTACTAAAAATAAAAACATCACACTATCAGATATAACAAACAAATGAATAAATAGGTTTTTTTATTTCCGTTAAAATACTAGTACAGTTTTAGAATAAATTTGTTTGACAGTAAGTAATTTTAGTAACAATATTACTCAGTGTAATGAAATATACAAAGTGTGCAATGCAGCGTTGTTAATTTTGAATTTTAATACTGGGTGGAGGTAAATGCAAGATTTTCTCCTGATGTTCTAAATTACCACCATCCAGTAAATTCCACATGTTAGCATGTCAGTCTGTGTTTCCCTCTGCACTTTGATGATATACACCAATACCTTCATATTTAATATACCTTAGATATTTTACGTCGGAAAAAATAAACGGTTTCGAATTTTAATAAAAGGTATCCTTAAAAAGCAGTATTAATATATTTGAAAATTACAAACGAATGAAAAATTTGATTTTTCTAATTTTTTATTTGAATTGAGGAGTTAATATATAAATTATGAGAAATATATATATACATGTATTGTTTAAAAACGACATTTAGTAAAATGAACTGGATTGGCATGTTAAAACTGCATATAGTTTGTTGTAAAAGGAATGTTCAATAGCTTTGTGGTTTTTTGTGATTTTTATCTAAATCGCCAACTTTGGCTCGCCAAGAAAAACACAACTTGATGAATAAAAGCCACAAACCATGGAGATCATAAATATAAATGCTCATTTGTTAAGAATTAATTTTATTATTAAATCTTTCTTTTGATCGTTTTACTGTTTCTCTGATATATCTGAAAACATCCGTCTTTTTAAGTACAAAACCTGTCACCCATAGTCAATAAGTTCTACGAGGGCCGTTCAAAAATTACGCGGACTGTGCTATTATTTACGTCATATAGCCATGGAATTTCACAGAAATATATATCTTAAAGAGTCCAATAAATTTTGGCAAAATTTCTATATTTTAAAAAAATTCTACTAAAATTATCGGTATGTTGATATCACTGATGGAGAGGTACGGAGCACGACAAGAAATTTGAAACAAAAGCATGCGGAATCCAAAATTTAACTCATTAATTTTCTATAATTCGATATTTTTCGACAATTTTCTCAAATGTATCTTTAAATTGTTCTATTATTATGTATTTAGATTTCTGACGTGATATTAGAAGTACGAACAGAAATATAGTGACTTTTCTCTGATGCGATTTCCGTGAAAACGACGGTGAAAATGACGTCTCCCGAATTGACGCGCACCACACTTTTGTTAAATTACGTGTAATGCTAAAAGCCAATATATATCCAAAATATACATAATAAAACATGTAGTAAAATAGGGTATTCGTGACAATCGTCTACAAGTAGCAAATTGAAATTTTATTATTAAAAAGGCTATATCTTTTGATCGAAAACTTTTACTGTAAAGAACGTTTGATATATCACACTATATTTCATTAATATCTGCAGTTTTTGGTTTTAAAACAAAAAAAAAAGAATATTCTTTACTTGTTTAATAGATTTTAAGCTTGACAAGAAAAGGTGTTTGGATGTTGAGTAAATAAGGTAACGCAAACTATACAGGTACTCTTGGGAAATGTTGAGAAAATGAAAACTCAATCACATTTTTTCTTATAATGCCTTTGACGTCGAAGATTTTGCTGCTCCGTGACTTAATGATATGTCCTGAAAAATCACTCAAAATTGATACCAATTTACAACATTTTGAAATTTTGAAGACCATATAAGTAAAGATTCTTTTATATTATTTGACACAATATGTCGTCAAATATTTTTATAAAAAGTCCGCGTAATTTTTGAACGGCCCTACACATAGACAGCTACGTGTAAGACCAGTTGTCATGTTAATTCTGCTACGTAGTCCGCCTTTCGCAGAAGAATGTTAAATTATCAAATAATAATAAATTCCATCCTAAATACCACTACTTATCAAATTAACAAAACCGCAATCACTATTACAATCTCAGGGCTTAAGAACGTACACCAGGCACTTCGAAGATTAATGTTAACGTTTCTAGGGTATAAATGTTTAAGACGAAAAATTTGTTACAAATTACGGAATTGTTACCAATGGGTGTTGTTACCAATTACGCTTTTTTAAAAATCTACCTTTTTTTACTTGTTTACAAATGATATGAAATTCTTCTTCCTCGTTTACTTTCTTAACAGCGTTTAAAATTTATTTATCATCATGGTTCCTTTTGGTTCCTTATGGAATATAGGGTCTCTTAAAATTTAGTAATTGCTGAAAATTATTTTGACTTTTTCTGGTACACGCTTCAAAAAATTAAACCTACTTCATACAAATGAAAAAAAAAACGTCAAAAGGCAGTAGAAACTTTGTAGATCCCGCTAATGATAAAACGCCGCTTAATGAAAATTTTATATCATCAAGTAGTTGCCAATGTCAATTTTTAATACAATAATTTATGATATTATTGCAACGCTTAATGATATTTCTAAGTTGCGTTTTGCTACAAAGCTATGGGAAAGGCAACAGGTAAATTATTCTCTCTATATAATACAGGTCTAACTAGTCTCCTCGTTTGGTTCACCATCTAGTTTTCTTAAAAAAAAAATCACCAAAACATTACTTTTGAAAATGTTCACAATATATATAAATGCACTGTATGTTGTATTAAAAAAGCTACATGTAAATACCAGTACTTACATTCATATTTTTGAAAATCCTTGCAAAATAAATATATAGTCCACTTTATATATTTATTCCAAGAAATCTGGAAATGCTAAATCAATGTACATTACCCAAAACATTGAAGCTATAAACGAAAGACATACTAGTGATATTATGAAACCCTTTTTTGGATTTTATCCTCTGAGATGTATACAATGCGGATCTTTATTCGAAGTAAATAAAAACAAAGAGACAAAAGGTATTGCAATGTTTAATGAGGTTTTAAATAAAACCAGATAATTAAGGACTGAATAAAAGTATTGTGTTCTTTTCGTAGAAGTTTATCTCAAAACAAATTGATAAATTCATTATTTTCTGTAAAAGGAAAAAAAATCTAAGCTAATTAAAACCAGTTAATTGATAAATTGGTCAGGAGTGTTTAGTTCCATGAAAAGGAACTGTTGTAACAAATTAAATTTGACATTTTTGGAATAGATCTATCGTTAGTTGAAAATCTTTAAGATATTTAGGCAAAACAATGAAAACTTACCTGTATTTTTAAGTATACGGACTTTCGAAGCTTCTTTATAATTGACAGTTTCATAATAATAAAACTCAAAGAAAGATTTCATTTATGCAATATTTCATAAGATTTACATTTTCGAAAGCCTTTGTTTTTTGCTTTATAATTCACATACTTTTTAAAATAGCAAGTGCATGTAAGAACCAAGCTCACTCCTATTGAATTCGGCATTATATTTGTCCAAATCAACTGATTTACGGAAAATGTCATCAGTCATCAGACTTTATTCTGGTTTGTACAAAGCTGTATAAAGAATTAAGGTCATTTAATCAGAATTATCTTCCTTGATTGAGTATAGAATTTTACATGAGCAAAATTTTGCCACTGTAGTGGCAAAGTCCATGTTTTGCTCTTGGAGACCCAAAATAAGTGTCAGATCAAAAAGTAAAATAGAAGGTACACAAAAACATTACGTAAAAAAATCTGCGAGAGTATCATAAAATTTAATTCAGTGGTGTAGGAGGAGTTGCGGATATGGGATGGGTACCCTTCAATATCATAGAAAGAATGGCATTGTCCATGTTTTGCTATGGGGAACCCGAAATATGTCTATCAAATATTATAATAACAATATGTCACAAAGATCTTGTGAAAGTTTAATTAAACTTTGATCATTATATAAGAGAAGTTGTGGATGCATAGGTACCCCAAAGCGTAACAGACAGACGTACAGACAGACGGAGAGACGGATGGACGGATATCCCGGACACTATATACCCTCTCAGTTATCGAGCGGGGAGTATAACTAGAAATACTGAGAGCACTGAGGTGACGAAATGATACCGTCGCCTCCCTTGTGATTATAAAGTCAAAATCAATGTTTTACTCCGGGAGACCCAAAATAAATGTCAAATCAAAAAGTAAAATAGGAGGTGGACATTGACTCTATTTTACAAAGATTATGTAAAAGTCTCAATGGTATGAGGCGTTGAGATAAGAGATGGAAAACCCTAAGCGTACAGACGGTGGGGCATGTCTATCAATATATACCCTCTGCTTTTCAAGAGAAATGTAAAAAAAATAGTAATTCCGCTGCCTTCTCTGTAACATCAACAAAATCCTCCAAAGTGTTGTTTTCTTATTTCGAGTGTAGTCTTGTTTGAAGCATCATTACGATGGTACGAGGACTGTTCAATACATAATGTCCTGAACTGTATGACATACAACACAGATATCATATGACATTAAGTTTGAGTTTCTGTCATTAGTGAATCTTTAATGAATTTATAACAGTTTATGTGACCACTTTTCATGACATAGTTTCATTGTGAGAAGCTGGAAAACAAGGGCTATTTGAGACACTGCATTATAAATGAATGGTAAGGCCGGAATTAAAAATATCTTTGTTTCCCCTAACCCGACCCTAAATTCTCAAGTTGGGTCGGTAGGTAGGTAAACAATTTTATTTTCTGACAGCAGCTTTGAAAATACATTCTAAAATTTAATGGAAAATTACCTTTATAAATAAGAAAAGTACAAAAGAAAGCGATTTGTTAACAAAATGCTAAGCATCGTACATATGCCGTTTAAAAGCAAAATTCATGATTAATTAATCCACAACTGTAATTTACTTGAACTTGTGAAAATCTCACGCCATTACATTTATATAAATTGAATAAAATAGACAAGATTCTCAAATACGCAAAGACCAGACATGCAAGTATATTTTGTCAAACCTTCCATCAGCCTTCAGAGCTTATAGAAGATTAAAGTACTTTTTTGAGAGCCATGAGATTTGCAGTGGTTCTGGAACATTTTGCTTTGGAGGTAAGAAGTGGCTAATTTTAAATCGCAGGTTTAAATCCCTATGAGTAACGTTAAAAACGGTTCTCTAAAGGGGACCATAAAAATTTATGTCCAGTGTCGCAGAAGATGCTGGCTCAAAAAAGACCCCCCACTTCTTAATGGCAAAAAAGTGCTAAGTACGTCTAAATTTGGAGCAATGGGGGAAATGTTTAAATGTCGTCCTAACAAATCTCAAAGGGATTAAAAGCAAAGAAACAACCAGTCTTCAAGGACCTATAATTAAAGAAAATACACTGCTATATACAATGTCATAGTCACGAAGTTCAACCACTAAATAAAGGTATGAAGAAAGGACATCTGAATTATGTTTATCAGGATGAATTTGCAGACATATTTACAACTCCTATATATGGTTCCATAATGGCATTTAGTAAACATAGGAAAATAGATAAACTGGTTATTAGAGCAAAACTCAAATGAAATGAAATGCAGTGAAATTAAATGATGTGTTTAATAGGTGGACCCCTCCTCTACTCATGAGGCGGGCCATACCATGTATTACGTACCTTAAATTCAAAGACAGGTTTGTTTGTTGTATAACGTCCCTTTCGAAAATTTATTCACTCACGTGTAGACGCCAAGACACCTCCGAAACACTCTTAAATAGTCATGGTAAATTTTATTATCGAATTGTTTCAAGAGTTCCAATTAGCTAAAAGCATAAGATTGAGACGTCGCCATTGTTTTATGAAGAGATAATGCCATGTAATCACATCTGGACCTCATTTTGTTTCCAACAAATGCTTGAAAATCACAGTAGAACAATGTCGGCCGTTCTGATAAAAACTGTTTTTGATGAAATTGTATTTTATAACACTTGGTTAACAATAAAAATAATATTTGAATCAACTTATTTAAAGAATCTTTTCAGTCGGCGCGATTTAACTGGGTCGGTCGCGTTAGGGGAAACAAAGGTATTTTTTATTTTGGCCTAAAGAATAAGTAAACTAGAGAGAAAATAAAAGCTTCATTAAAGCTGCTGTAAAACTTGTTAAAAATCCCAAAGAAATATTCACTGAAATATGTGACAATTACAGCAACCAATGCCTGTTTTCTAGACAAATGAGCAGATGGATTTTAATGATAAAAAATTATATAATGGGCATCAAAAATGGGTACCGTCCTTGCCAACAAAAAATTTTAACAACTTATGTACTGTTTGCCAAATTTCAACAAATATTCGATGATGTATGATTGACTTTATGACACATAGCAAATTTGATAGACATCATTTCGGGAGTAGTTTACACTGTTTTTAAGAAACGTTTGACGGTAAAAAAGCTTAATACTCAAAGGTCACCCTATATTTTAAAAAATGAGTGAAAACGACAGCGTGTACGAATGTCTTATTTTAAAATATCAGGAATTGTAGTTATCCACGTTTGTTTGATATTCAAAGAGGTAATGGAACTTGAATCTATTGCTTAAAACCCTCAAAACAAAATTTACCGTAAGATGTACTTGATAAAAACAGCGAAGGTCTGACAAGAGCCAAGAATTTCAAGAGCACAAAGACAGATTTATAAGCAATTTTTTAAAATATTAGTGGTATTGTTGTTCAGATTCGTATTCGGGGAGACAGTTCAATTTCTGGGAGAGTTTTTCTGCAAAAAAATCGAAAGGTTTATTGGAGGAAGGACCCAGAATCAAGAATCCACTTCATTAAATTTCTTCATGACAGCGTCCAATCCCGCACGCCCTGAAGAGTAAAAGGGTTTTCGGGATAAAAAGAAACTTAATGTTTTTTCACATTAACAATATTCGCCAGATCTTTGACCTTTTGACTTGTTTCTATTTCCAAACTTGAAAAAACGCCTTTCAGAAGGAAGAAACAAGTCCTGGAAATCGTTGGATCTGCTATTTTCCAGTATACTAAGGGTCATACCCAAAAATAAGTTCTAAAAACAATCAGAAATTGGAATGTTACGGACATGTGTTTTAATTGAAAGAGATTAATAAGTTAAATCATGAAGACTAAATCATTGAAAAGAACATTATTTATTGAACAGTCCTCGTATAGTTAAAATGGCAACTTGCATGCAATAATTATTAAAAGACTAACACTCATGAGGCCGTAGTCATTGAATGAAAACCAGAACTCACTCTGTCTGATGATAATGGATAGAGAATTTTAGAAGTATCGAAAGTAATATAAGAATCGTATGAGTCAGTTTTATGATGACAAAAAGCGAACTATTTATCCTTCTCGCTTCAAAAGAAAGAAGAGAAAGACTATAGATATTACAATACATGTATGTCTGTAAGGATAAATTTTATGATTACTCTTAATTTTCAAGAATCTTGCTTATTTTTACGTGTAATGAATCCTTATGTATGCTTACAGCTGTCTTTCAAAGAATGGATTTCTCATTGTAGTCGACGATGGTGAATTGGATTTACCGTGCCTATACCTGATTTCAAAGCTTCGATTGAAACCTTATAAATGCAATAACGTACACTGTAGCAGGTTCCTTATACATAGTAAAATCATTAACATTGTTTGAGGTGAAGAAGAAAGTTTAGGAACACCGTGCTATTATAGATTGAATCAAATATGGATTCCATAAAACTGAAAAGATTTCTGATATGCCCCAATTATCGAAGAATGGGGTTGAATAATTTTTGCACTGTCTATTTGTCTGTCTGTTTGTCTGCAAAAACAAATTAAGGTCACATTCTTATTGTCATAAAACCATTATCGAATTGCACTACGACGACATGACCCTAATATGAATTAAATATCTCGTGTCAAAGGTATATGTTCTTTAAAATCATTAAAGAGGCGCAATTGATACTCATGGGAATTCCGACTGAACGAAAATTTTGAATACCTGCTTTTGTAAAAAAAGACAAAGAAAATTATGCTGGACGAGCTGTTGAAATGAAAATATGTTTTATCTTTGCATTCATAATAAATAAATTGTTTTCTCCAATAGTTTGACGAACGACCAAACATCAACAATTGCTTTAGAAAAAAGAATTCAAAATATATGAAAAGTTTTTAATTTTTATTTAAAAGTAAATGCCAGATATGTAAATAAATGACATAATGTAAAATCAATTATACACCAATGAAAATATTTTAAAACACGTGCTAATACAATCAAGGATGTACCGGTATGACGTGCTCACGCACACGATAGAGAGCTCACTTAATATAATCTAACCCTACGAAAAAATGGTAATAAATTTTTAATGAACAGATTGTAATTAAAACTGAATTTTCTTTGGTTCTTCGTGATCTTCCTGACATTGCTAGCTTGGATTCTCCAGGCCAATACATTACGTAAAATAGAATCCGAGTTCTAGTAGGAGTTCTGTAAATGAAATTAACGAGCACATGATAATAAATAATGATGTGTGAAACACTTTGTTAACACTTGTTAATTGAGGAGACAAATTCTGTAGTCATTCAACATTAATTGTAGTACAGAAAAAGATTCATATCTTGATAAACAAGATGTGTTTGTGAAACACTGATGTCCCCGTATGGCAACACAGCGAAAGTTAAGCTTTCTCAAATGCAGATCAAATATGTTGGTACCCAAAGTAAGGCCTTTTCACAAGAAATACAAATGTAAATATAAAACCCTGTTCAAGGGTTATGACCAAGATTAACATTTTTAAAGGTAGGACAAATTCCGGGGTAAAGGTCAAAGGGTCAAGGTTGTTGGTTTCTAAAAAAAGGCCTTGTCTCATAGATTACATATTGTAAAAAGTAGGTCACACTCCAAGGTCAAAGGGTCAAAGGTTTTTGATATCCATTAAAAGGTCTTGACACAAGGATGTGAAATATGAAATCTCTCGCCCCTACTGTTCAAAAGTTATGGCCAAGGTTAAAGTTTGTAAAAAAATACGTCAAACTCCAAGGTCAAGGTCAAAGTTGTTGATATTCACTGAAAAGTCTTCTCACAAGGATTGCATATTTGAAGTACATGTATGAAAGCCGTAGTTAAAAAGTTATAGCCAAGTTAAAATTTTTTCATAAGTACAGAAATCTCCAAGGTCAAGGTCAAAATTCTTTGTTTCAAATAAAAGGTCTTGCCAAAAATAATTGATATTTGAAATAGAAAATTCTTTGTATCTACCATTTAAAAATTAGGGCCAAAGTAAAAATTTGGAATTTTTGTGTTAAAGTGGGTCAAACTCTAAGGTCAAGGTCAAAGGGTCAAGGTTCTTGATATCAAATGAAAGGTCTTGTCAAAAGGATTAAATATATGAAGAATGAACGCCCTAGTCACAACCCTTTAAAAATTATGATCAATATTTTATTTTTAAAGTAGGTCAAACTGCAAGGTCAAGGTCAAAGGGTCGAGGTTCTTGGTATCCAATGAGAGTCTTCTCACAAGAATTACATAATTACATATGTAAAGTAGGAAAGCCCTAGCACTTACCGTTCAAAAGTTATAGCCAAGGTTAAAGTTTTTTCATAAGTACAGAAATCTCCAAGGTCAAGGTCAAAAGGTCAAGGTTGTTTGTATCCAATGAAAGGTCTTTCTACAAAGAATATATACTTCAAGTATAAATGTCCAGGTATCTACTGTTCAAAAGACATGGCCAAAGTGAAAGTTCAAAATTTTTGTATAAAATTGGGTCAAACTCCAAGGTCGAGGTCAAAAGGTCAAATTTTGTGGTTCCCAAAGAAAGGTCTTGTAACAAGGAATACACATGTGAAATATGGAAGTCATAGCTTAATTAAATCAAAAGTTATGGGCAAGGTTAAAGTTTTTGCGGACAAACAGACAAACAGACAGAGAGACAGACAGATGGACAGACATGACAAAAACTATATACCCCCGAAATTTCGTTTACGGGGGCATAAAAATCATTATAAAGTTAAAATTTGCAGAGATATATTTAGTTGTTATATCGAGTTATCATAACAATAACAGTTGCATGGTGCCTGACTGTAAGGTTCATTTCATTAAATCATAATTCAAAAAGGAAAGCTTACAAAATAATTAGGTACACTAACCACTTGTTTGTGGTTTGATGGCTGTGATGCATGCTGAGTGCGAAAATGAGGAAACATAGTCTGGTCATCAAAAGCGTAAGAAACGTAATACCAGGGTCTATATTTGTACACGTTATAATTGTAGACCGGAAACAGAGTTCCATATCGAAATTTGTCTGAAGAAACATAGTTTTCAAGCTGAGATTTAGGAAGAAAGAATTTTTTCAATGTTTCACTAGTTTTTACTTTAGAGGGGTTATGTATAGTGATACCATTTTCCTTATTTTTCATCAAAACCTTTCCCTTGAACTGCTGTTTTTCTGCGTAAAACTTTGTTGCTGTATTTTTCATCTTCCTTGGAAAATTGTAAGAAATTTGTTTGTCAATGCCGTGCTTTTCAGGAGTACTTGACGAAAATCTTTTAGAATGTGTATCTGTTTTCATCCTTGATGGAAAGATATAAACCAAATGATGTAAAAATCTTTTCTTCGTTGCAGGCTCTTTGTGTGTTATTTCTTTGGTATATGGTACAAGAGTAGGAACCGGCAAATTTGGAACCTCTTTCTTAGCTTTATTATCCAGATGTATCTCCGGTCCTTGATTTATCTTGAGGACATTTTTTCTTTTGTCAATAAGTTGAATTAAATCATTAGATTCTCTCTCCCTCTTAAAATTAATTATATTCACAGATGTGAGAGTTCCAATCGCTTTGTCCACACCAATGGAATCCTTTGGAATATTCTGCAAGGTATTAAGCTCGTTTCCTTTTGTAAATTTGCTAAGTCGTTCCTCTGGCCCAAGGACTTTATTTGTTTGTGATTTCATCCTCTCACGTACGTGACCAGTACTGTGTTTGACAATTTCAAGGCTGTCTACCACCACGTCAACAATCCCAGTCTGCGACGCGTCAGGCGCTAAGGTAGGAGGTACTGGGATGTCTATAGCCTTCTGAGGAACCTTCTGAGAATTGATTACGGCTTTTGTTAGCTCATTCTCAAATAAAGGCTCACTTAACAACTCCTCAAGGAAAGATTTAGGGTTAGACCCTTCTTTACCGTTCCCCGCTAATGGTTCATCCAACAAACCCTCTATAAATGAAGCGCGGACTTTTTCTATTTCATTTTGCCTTCCTTCTTGTTGTTTTAAGAGCCATTCAAGGTGGCCTTGTTCACCACTTGGTACTGGAAGCAGTAAATTTAAGTTAGAATGTGTGGAACCAAGCTGCCCATTTCCTGTGTTTTCAATATTAGCTTCGAGACAAGAAGAGGATAAAAACATCAGAAGCAATCCAATAACCATGGTACTCTGTGGAAAAGTTATATTCAATGAACAATAAAATGGTTTCAAACTTTACGTTACAAAGATTTGAACAACTTTATCAATATGACAGAATACTAATAATTTGATGTAAAAAAAAAAACCTAATTATTAATTGTGAGATTTTGACAATTTTTTTAAAAGAACCTTTCAATTACTTACTTTCCCTTATTTTGATAGTGAGTACATCCTCTGAAACATCCAGGTACTATTTTCTACATGGATTTTAAGTAAGAAGTCACTATTGAAAATTCCGTATTGTTTTCTATCTTTAAAATATAAACGGTAAAACAGAAAGCTCTGCATTTAGCAACGTGTTCACCTGAAACTTGCTATATTGAATTTTTTTGTAATTGACTTTACTACAAATCCTCAGGTCAAAATGAACATAAAAATCGAGGAAAAGAAATGTCTTGGCCTCCAAGATAATTGATCACATTAACAAAAACCGTGTATCTAGTTTAATTTATATTTCCCGAGTCGTGCACTCCCTGATAATTTTAAAACAAATAACAGGTGAAAGAGTAATTTTGCTCGTATTTAAATATTGTCGGAAAGAAAGAAAGACCGGTTATCATTTTGCTCGTAAATCAAATCAAGAAAAAAGTTATCTTCTTCTATTTTTGAAATGTGAATTTGATTAATGTTTTACAATAAAAATTAAACATTTAAGGTTTTAGTTTTAGTACACAAGCAAAGCCTTGATCTCTGTCTTTCGTATTTTAACACGGAAAGTGCTTATTACAAAAAGAGAAAAATAAGAGAACATTGAACATTCAAATTTCAATAAACTTTCAGTTTTGTTTTCAAGTATTTGTTAAGGGCAACAATATTTACATGTTTCCTATGATAAGGAGTGGTTTAATGTCACCATGTACAGCAATCGACCTCTTATACACGTGATAAATACATTAAGAATATTTAATGACAATACATTGAATCATTCAAAGTAAACAAAAACGTTTTTAAGAAAAAAACCCTTAATTTAGACTTGTATAATTATCACCTGAAAGACAGTCAGTGGGCACGTTAAAGAGCACATTGAATTGATGTTCAAAGAAAACCTGATGTATTTTGTACTTTCTTTTAACCATGACTAAAACAGCTTTTATTCTAATTACGTAAAAGAATTAAGAAAAGTAATATGAAATTTAATGTAAAGATAATGCACTTTCAGCATGTCTTTTTTGGAAACCACATGAAGGAGTTTTGAATTATAGAGAGATTTATCCGTCTTATAAGATACTTTAATTGGCATCTTCACATGGTCAGTATAAATTGTAGAATATAAACAAAATGTATCTAAAAGCGGTAATTTACCATTTAATCCTCGACCTTGAACACGGCTTGTAGAAAATCTATAATGGACGGAACAATGTCACATCAATGCTTGTACAAAAGATGAATAAAACACAAGGATGCACGCTACCCTCCACGGAGCTCAATTAACCGACAGCTACACAACATCTAATCAAGGTACCTTTAACATTAAAAACATAAATGCTAAAATTTTGTTCCAGCCAAAGAATTTACTACAAAATATGTCTTAAATTTATTATTGTGTAAATATAATTTTGGTCCGTGCTCGACCAGTACCATTTTCTCCATAGCAAAACAAAAATCATGCTTTTGACATTAAATAAGCGATCAATCATGAATAACTGTTATAAATGATCCTTTTGTCAACAATAATTAATTTCTTTTTTGATTTATTAACAATGTCTGTGGTAATTTTTTTTTTACGAACTTTCAATATATTACTATAACAAAACCTGCCAGAGTTTATCAATGTTGTTTGACTGATAGAAATGTAAACACACATTTTTCATTACTGTTTTTATTAAGTTTCATGAACTCCTTGAAGATTATTTATTTCATATTTCTTTCACTGACTTCCGTTATCTGTCATTTTCACGAAATAAAAGTGACAAAAATCAATGTGATTTAGTATACTAACGACGTACATGTACATTGATATAAAAGCGGATACTTAAAACTGTAAGCATTACATCAGGATGTGGTATGAAAGCATTCACATTTTCAAATGTTATTTTTTAGATAAGGTTAAAAAAAAATCACGATGTCCTGAATAAAAATGTCCTACATGTATTATGCTATGAAATAGATTTTCTGACTCATTGCATAAAATGTTTGGAGAGGTCGAAACTGGAGGTGGGTGGGTTACATCTTCCATTATTTATTTTTATTACACACTTAGTAATAAATACAAGTTTTTTGCATATGCGATATGGCTGACGTCACAATAGCCGTATCAGCCCTGCAGGGCTGATATGGATTTACGGGGCTGATAACCTATATCAGCCCTGCAAATCCATATCAGCCCTGCAGGGCTGATACGGCTATTGTGACGTCAAAATCACACCATTAGTAAATTAAACCACAAAAACATGTACTTGTGATCATACACGATTTTTGGTGGGTTCATATTCTCAAAATTTTAACTTTTTGAAAATAAGGTTAATCTTAATTTACAAATACATGTAATAGATTATTTTCAAAATACGGATCAAGTGCATTGAAATAGAAATAGAAATAACCCCAAATCGTATGAGACATGAGACCATGTACATGTATGTAAGAAGTAAATTCATGATTATTTACTTATTTTCCTCTCAACTTAATGTGTTCTGTATTTTATTACTAAGTATGTAATAAATATAATAAAACATACCCTTTTCCACATCACATCCTGTATCAACAATAAGCCCTCGGGCCTTCGGCCCTCTGGCTGATATTGGTGTCTCGGGCTGATACAGGATGTGATATGGAAAAGGGTATGTATTATTCTCTATATATTGAATGGAAATATGTATTTAAGAAAGAACAGAGGGTAGGGAATAAACCCCTTTCCTATGACGTATTTTGCCTGGGAGTTACATCTATTCCTCTTTGCCGCCATCTTGTAGGACAAGGTAGTGAATTTTCCTCTTTGAGCAACTAATTTTATTTCATTTTATTATTTTTTTTTATTCACACAACATACAGCATTATAAACATATTTCAACAGAAACAGTGTTTTTTTTTTTTTTTTTAAAATGGGGAAGAGAGAGAGAGAGAGAGAGGTTCAAGTTAAGAGTTAAGAGAACAGCAGATTCCATCTGTTCCACTGGGTATCAAAATTTTCCTTTTTACCATTCTTATAAGAAATAAATTTTTGTGTTTGAAATTTCATTTGTGATATTGCATTTTGTACATTAATGGGTTTTTCTTGTGCATATTGCATTATAAATACAATATTTAAGCCAAAGAAGAATAGCATTTTGAATACCAGTATTTACATCAATGAATCCTAAAATAAAAGATTTCTTAGTAACATTTATCATTAGACCAGTTTTATCTTCCAACAAACTCACAAATTTTTTTCAGAAAAAATTGTGTATTATCGCATTCCCATAGAAGGTGTTCTATTGTTTCATCTTCAGTATGAAAAAAAAACTGCATAATTTACAGTCTTTTTTTTTTTAATTATGAATAGAAATGAATTTGTTGCTAATATTTTGTTTATAATCCTATATTGAAACCATTGGAGTCCACAGTCTTTTGTTACCCTAAAGGGTATCATGTGAATTTTTTTCCATTCCTGAGTTCCAACTTCTAAAAGCTCACTCCAATACGTTTTACCTGCTGCAACAGCAGAATTTTGAATAAGGATTTCATAATAGCATTTGGTTTTTTTTTACATTTCACTACTGTGTAGATATTAGACATAATTAAGGGATTAGTGAGCTTTTTTATTGTTTTTTCCTGACCAGAATTTTTCATCTAATCCTTTAGAGCATGAATAATACTACTGAATTCTAAAAAAATAATCTTTATATTTGGATAGGTGTTGCAGAAAAGTGAACCATCCTCATTAATGATATCATTAAGTTGTCTAATGTTGCTGTCAAACATTTGTTTATTATAAAATTATTTTCCACCAATATGCAAATGTGGATTGTAAAATAGTGGTGAGTCACCAGCAACATCAAACTTTTTCTCAAGATTTTGTAACATTATCCAGGACTTAAATACATCTATCCAAAATTTATTTTTTAGTGTTTTTAAAAAAAGTTGCAGTATATTCAATTCCACAACTTATAAATTTGTTCACATTAAATTTAGGAATAAGGTTTGCCAACCCCCTATTTGTAAAAATAAGATGTCTTATCCAAAATAATTTCATGGAGGCTATAAAAGAGATAAGATTTAACATTTTCAACCCCCCCCCCCCTTTCTTCATATTTTTTCACAATTACTTCTGTCTTTACCCTATAGGTTGAATTATACCAAATAAATGAGAAAATAATTTTTCCAATTCCTTACAGTACGACTCAGAAGGATTTGGGATGGACATTAAAATGTGATTTAGTAATGGTAAAACTAATGCTTTAATAACTGTAATTTTCCCTATGGGACTTAAATACCTTTTCTCCCATTGTTTAAGTATTGATTTAATATGCGCCATTTTTGGTTCATAGTTTAATGGTAGTATTTTATCCAATTTTACATCAAAATGTATTCCTAGAAGAGTAAATCTGGTAGTTCCCCAGTTAATTTTGTAATTTGGCAGCAAAATTTCATCACTAAACTTTTTGGAACCTATCCACACTATGTTTGTTTTGGAATAATTAATATGTAATCTAGACATTTCTGAAAATGTCTTAAGTGTTTGCAATGTTTCTGTGAGGGACGTTTTACTAAGAATAATTGATGTATCATCAGCTAACTGAGAAATCTTTTTTTTCAGTATTGTTTACAGTAATACCTTTAATATTTTTGTTTAATCTAATTTGGATTGCTAAAATTTCTGCACATATATCAGGATCACCATTGCCTGCCGCCCCTCTGAATGTTAATTCTATCAGAGAGATTACCACCTTGGTTTATTGCAGATGTAATGTCTGTATTAAAAAGGGATACCCACTTCTTAATTGAGGGACCAAAGTTAAAAAAGTTAAGTGCGCATTGTATAAAGCTCCATGAAAGGGTATCAAAAGCTTTTTCAAAGTCAATAAGTAGTAATAATCCAGGTATATTTTCTTCCTCAGTGTAATGCATTATGTCATAAATTAACCTGGTGTTTTCTCCTTTATATCTATTGGGGATGAAGCCTGTTTGATCTTGATTAATCATTTTATCTAAATGGCGTTTTACTCTGTTTGCAATAGATCCAGATGCAATTTTATATACTGTATTTAATAAAGTAATAGGTCGCCAATTCTTTAAGTATTGTCTTGGTTTGTCACCTTTTTGCAACAAAGTAATGATACCGTGTTTTTGTGTAATAGATAGACTGTTATACTTATATCCGTAATTAATAGATCTAACTACAAAAAACCCAATGTATTTCCAAAACATCTTAAAGAATTCCGCAGAAAAAAACATCTGATCCAGGGGATTTATTTGATTTCATTTTGTAAAGTGTAGAAGAGGCTTCTTCCATAGTAATTTTGCCTTCTATAGATTCTGATTCTTTGCATGAAAGCTTAGGTATTTCTTTATTTCTTAATTCATTGAATAGACCAATATTTGTATTATTGACTTTTTGTATTTAGCTGTTCATGAAAAGATTTTGTTTCTCTTAAAATTTCTGTCTGGTCACGAATACTCAATAACCAGTTTTAAACATCATCATGCATGCTTGATTACAATTTTAAAATTAGGAATTATGAATTAAATTAGGCTTTAAAAAACATAGATTCATAAAAAAAATTGTGTTATCTTTACCTCAGTAACCATTATTACAAATTGAACTTGGTTGAATAATGAAGGGATCTGGGAATGTTGACCTACAATATGGCGGCCATGGGGAATTACTCTTGAGAAACGCACCTCAATGAAAAACACTCTATAACCAGTACTACCTCTTGTAACTGTACAATTGTGGAAAGGCACATTTAAATCCCGGTTTTTGAAAGGTATGAAGAGATACGAAGATACCAAAATTAATTTATACGAGTACAGAAAAATATTTAAAAATTAAATTGTAGTTTCATTCAAATGAAAAATAATGTTGTGACAAATAAGTCAATTGTATTATATATATATATCACCTGCATACGATGTTTATATCATATCTCAGTTGATTCGATACGCAAGAGCATGCTCTACGTATGAACAATTTCTAAAACGAGGTAAATTATTGACAAACAAGTTGATGAAACAAGAATATCAGCAGTCTCGTTTAAGTTCATCATTTTGTAAGTTTTGTGGTCGATTATACAATGATCTTGTCAGGAAATACAATCTGTCATTGAGTCAAATGCTGACTGACCTTTTCACACAAGTTGTTACTTCATTATTTATACACAGAATTGACGACGGATTTTCCCGTTAATTCCCGATCATGACTAGG